AAAAAAAAAAAAAAAAGAAGCCCTCCACGCGGTTCTGATGCATGCTCAAGTTGAAGAACCACTGCTCTACAGTGACCAAACACTTTCAAGCATCTGGGTTCCATTCATTTCCTACCTCATGAAGCAATACGTGTCTACCTGGGTCAGCGTTTAGCCAGAGAAGTAACTAGATAGATAGATAGATAGATAGATAGATAGATAGATAGATAGATAGGATAGATAAATAGTAAATAGAAGACGGTAGGTAGATAGATAGATAGGAGATAGACAATAGATAGATAGATGATGGATACATAGAGATAGAATATGGATGGTAAATTAGATAGATGATAGATAAATAGTAAATAGAAGACAGTAGGTAGATAGGAGATAGACAATACATAGTAGACAGATGATAGATACAGATAGATCAATAGATGATTGATAAATAGTAAATAGAAGATACATGGTAGATAGGAGGTAGACAATAGACAGTAGAGATAGATAGATAAATACATACATAGATAGATACATAGACAGATAGGTAGATACGTAGATAGATGGTAGAGAGAGAGACAGAGATTCTTCTGGTACATGTGTAGGGCTTTGTTTCAGGGATTTGACCGTAGGCAGTTGTGGACACTGGATAAGCAGTGTCTATAAAGCGGCTGTCTTCCCATCTGATGCTGGGGCTTGAAGTTCTCTGGGGAGATGGTTGGGAAGGAAGCATGGAGGTAAAGTGGGGGAGGTCAAGGGCAAGTCAGAATCCACAGCACAGGCTGGAGACCCGAGGACAGACAGGCAGACAGAAATCCATGTCAGTTCTTGCTGCTTCTGAAATTGGTGGTGTGGGCGTTCTGCCAAAGCCAGGATCCTTCGTCCTGGAAATGAACACATACGCCTGGCCCAGGGGCAGGAGACTGAAGGAGGCTCCAGGGGAGGGCGGCCAGACGCAGGCCTGGCCACCGCCTCACACCAATGCTGCGAGTCAGCAGGCATTGAGTAAGTTTGTGGATTTGTGGCTTCTCTTGTACTCAAGAAATCTGCCTAGACCCACAGAATTTCTTCTGCCCCAGGGCTGGGCCCCTTTTTAAGCCTGAAAAATGCAACAGTATCAGAATGAATCCACCCCCAAATCCCCCATGGGAAGCTCTCTGTGACCCACACTAACAGGACACACCCAAGAAAAGGAATTCTGAGAATACATTTCAGCCTGGGCAAGCTGACTCATCCGGAAGCCTCCATGCTACCATCATCTCCATTTCACAGGTGAGGAAACCGAGGCAAAGCTGCCTTTGGAAGAGAGGAACGGATGCTGGAGGCTGCAGTCCCGCGGGCTGGCCCTGGCCAAACAGGCGTGTCTAGCGGATGGAGGGCAGAGGTCATCTCACACACCCAGGATGGCGAGTGCTAGGGTGGTGCTCGGAGGGGCATGGAGGGGTTGGGGCTCTCCAGAAACGGTCGTGGGTGAAGGATATGCTGCTGAAATAACTTCCCCACGTTCAGCCTCCTGGGCTGGGTCCTGGGAGGTAGGAGAAGGCACAGAACAGGCAGTTCCTCCAACTCCCCAGTATACACATTTCCCCCCACAGCCCCGTCTTCTGCTGTCTCTGTAAGGTGGTGTTTGAGAAGCCCAGGCTGTTCGGCCTGAACACACTTCCTCCCGGAGTGTCCAAGGCCCCCTCAGCACCACCCCCACAGCACCACCCAAGGCCCTGTGCCAGAAGCCGAAGGCCCTCCCTCTGCCTCCTTCCTCCGCACTCCCTCCTCGGCTTCACCACCCTGCACCACTAAGTTTCCAGGGCTTGACTGACACAGGGACTCCTCGGGGTCACACGCAGAATTCCTGTGATCACACATAAGCTCATCCTGAGACACATGTGTTTACACGTGTGTATAACCTACGCTGATACTGCCTGTGTGTAACTATGCATGTGCGTGCTGTCAGTGTGCATAACTCACCCTGATACTGCAGATATATAACTAGCAGAAGCATATTATATATGTGTATAACTCACTCCGATATTGTTGCATATTTCATGCTTCAAAAGGGGTCCAGCCCTTGGGCAGAAGAAATTCCGTGGGTCTAGGCAGATTTCTTGCGTACAAGAGAAGCCACAAATCCGCAAACCTACTCAAGCCCACAGAAACAGGGAGAACAAATCCAAAAGGCGCAGGGATTCCCAGGCGCCGGAGTGACGGGGTCTTCTCATCGGGAGGGTAATGGCAGTCACAGACAGGCCCTCGCTCCTTCCCTACCCCACCCCAGCCCCTTCTCAGGCCTTCAGCATGGCTACCCAGGGCCCTGCAGCCACATAAAGAAGCCAAGATGGCCCGGTCAAGAGGGATTCTGACTCTCAGATGCATGAGATCACACTCCAAGAACAAGAAGATGAAGTTAAGGGCCTGCCTGGAGTTTTTCCCAGCAAGAAAAGACACTAACTCAGGAGAGCAGAAATAACTGATTTGTTCCAGAAATGAATGGTTCTCATCAGCAAAGGCAGGAAGTAGGGCTCTGGGTGTTTTATGGATAAAGAGAGGGAAGAGGAAGGAAGCCCTTCAGGAACTCGCTCTCAGTGTAGAGCACTCGGTTCCCCTCCAAACCCGTGAGCCCTTCCTGATGGGTGGGAGTAGGGGAAGGACAGAAGCGGGGGTTGGAGGAGCTTGGGGGACTAAGAGCTGAGCCCACAAGCAGGCAGGTAGGCGGACAGCTGCATGTCTGTTCCAACGCCTTGCCATACACACAACCTCCAAACTGCTGCTGAAGATGGGATTAGAACCAAGCTTTGAGCACCCTTCCATTAGAACCAAGCTTTGAGCACCCTTCCATTAGAACCAAGCTTTGAGCACCCTTCCAGGTGATCTCGGTCTCCCTGGAGTAGCTGAAGAGTCTCTGCTTCTGTGAGATCAGCTGTTAGCCCTTGGGATCAGCCCCCTTCCTCACACGGTTTTACCCCCAAAGCCCTTTTCCCAGCTTCCAGGCCAGGATCCCACGTATTACAGACAAGGCTTTCTGTCAGCTGGAGGGGCTCTAGAACCTTCTGCTTCTCCTTTCAAGCCATCTTAGGGTTGATCACTTGGGCATCTGTGTGAGCTTCTCTGTTCCTGGACTTTCAGTCCCAGCAATGTTTACTGGAAGCCTTCCATGTGCATAGCAGGGTGCTGAGGCCAAGTGGAGTCCCACGAGAGCCCTGTCTCAGGCCAGTCGTCTTCTCTTTGGAGATCAGAGCTGCTGAGAGCTGTGACACCAGCCCAG